TTTTTTTTTCTTTTCCTCAAAGGAAGCCCATCAACTGAACCTGGAAAAAGCTGTGTGTCACTCAATCCTGGGAAAAATGCTAAATGGGAGAACCTGGAGTGCATCCAGAAACTAGGCTATATTTGCAAAAAGGGCAACAGTACTTTGAATCCGTTTATCATTCCCTCAGGTAAGTGATCCATTTGAACAAGAGCACGTACATAAGACGTGTGACCCTAAAGATGCACACAATGAACGGCCTCAAGGCATAGCCACTTGAAATGACTCCGCCGGCTTCATTTGTTCATGACTAGGGGTGAACATAATGACCTTCCTCCGGCTCTTCTCCGTAGTGGTCGCAGCTGCAGGCCACTGACCTTTCCCTGGCGTGCTGTGATGCTCAGGCATGGTGCCGGACTTTGATGTCCCTGGCATAAATCGTGGTTTTTTTCCCGGCGAGGCAGGTATTATTCTTCACACATTATAGATAGGAAACAGACATTCAGGGAAGATGTAAAACTTGCACAAATAACAAACATGCAATTCAAGTGAGGAAATAAAAGTATCTCAAATAGGTGTTTTTCTTATGTTCGTACTCTTTACGGATCCAATCCACAATGCTATTGAATGTCTTTCCCTAAAGTCTTCAAGGGAATTGAATTAAGAATACCCCGAGAAGCAACTGAATTTTAGTGTTAAGCTAGACTCCAGGAAAAAAAAAAATCCAGTTATGTCCTACAGTCTCCAATATAATTGTACAAAAGAGTTATGCTACCGTGATAAGGCAAGAATACATCCCTTCTTCACATCAACTAAAAAAAAACAAACAAGCAAACAAGTGACATCTTGCTTTCCATCACTGTCTTTTGGAGGAATTCCGAATTGCTGAATGTTACTTCCCTTGGGAAATCTGGCAGTGTGCATCTTTGACTTTTTCTATGTGACTTTAAAACTAAAGAGTCCAATGGGGCAAACTGATAATTAATAATATTTTCCTGCCACCCCTTCTCTCTAGCCACTCAATTTCCCTCCTTGGAGAAGATTTCTTCCTAGGAGGCTGTAAATCCTTACAGAGTTATTCTAGGAATACATAAACAGACAGGGTTATAATAGTTTTTAATGTGTTTTATAAAAATTTTTAGCACATTATACACATTTACCATCTTTCATTTTTCACTTGACAGCAGTTTTGGGTATCATTTCATATCAGTCCACAAATTGCTTCTGCATTCCTTTAAAAATGTTCAATGGTGATTTTGCAAAAAATTTACGTAGGGTATTAGTTCTTCTTCAGCAAGTTCTTTTTTTGTTAATTGCAGAATGACTTTTAATTGATTTTTTATGTTAACAGATTTATTGACATATTCACATATCACACAATCGAAGAGTTTAAGCATATTAAAAAATAGCGTGAAACCACATTATTTTTCCTATTATTTTGACTTTATTCATTTTTCAAATAATTTTATTAGAACATAATCCAAACATCATATCATTCGATAGTATTATACCAAGAAGTATTGTACAATTACCTCCCCATTTTCCCACAGCCTCACCTACCATGATACTAGAAACTATTATATATACTCGTGTATAAACCGAGTTTTCCAGCAGCTTTTTAATGCAGTTTTTGTGGTAAAATTAGGTGCCTCAGCTGATAGTCAGGCCAGCTTATACTCAAGTATATACTCGAGTATATAACTGGACAGTAATCTGGTTACTGTCTCTATAGATTTACCTACCCTGGATTTCATGTAAAGAACATACAGAACAAAGCAAAACAAAAACAACAACAAAAATAAAATAAATCAGAGTAAAAGCTCAATTGAAAATAAAGCAAAAAGTCTTAAAAACTAGAACAAATTTTAAAGGAGTCAAAAGGGAGAACACGTGATACGGTGTTGAGTGTCACTTAACAATTTCGATAAGAAATATTTGGTGCTATTAGCTATGCTTCTCACAATGTTTCAGTAGTCTCACGATTTCATTCTGCTTGTCCTGCTACCTTTAATCTAGCTTCCTTGTCTGCCTCTTACCGTCTCATCTTTGGTGCTAAGGTAAATGTTGTCCATTAGGTGTCAGTTGTTTAGAGGAGCACAGTACTAACGGGTGCTATTATTTATTTGATGGGTCTCTCTGCCTTTTGGCTGATAGGTGAGCTCCTGGATTGTGCGTTCATTTATATGCCTGCACAATATCCAGTGCATAAAGAGATGATATATATATTTTACTGGCTCCCTACGGAAGGACTTTTAGTCTTTTATGATCACAAACAAGTAGGCAGTCGATAGCTTTATCCATCACATTTCATGCACGTGAAGATTCCTAGAGATGGAGCTGCTTGGTCAGAGAGTAGATGTGCTAACAATTTTGATCTCAACATGGGTCCAGGTCTCTAACAGATACAGGTGAGCATCCCTGGGATGAGGACTACTTTTACAGCTTGTGGACTTGCCTCATGGCCCTCGGTCTTAATTACATTTCATCTCCTCATTCCTTCCCATTGGAGTCCCTTAGTGCTACAATGGTTGACACTCTTGGCTGTGAACCAAGAGGTTGGAGGTTTTGGGTCCACCCAGAGGCACCTGGGAAGAAAGGCCTGGTGATCTTCATCCAGAAAAGCATAAGTGGAAACCCTATGGAGCACAGTTGTACTCTGATGAGTAGTGATGACTGGTCTTCCTCCCATAGGGATCTACCCATCTACCAGCCTTCCTTCTCGGAATTGCCCAGACCATTCTCCTTCAGAGGGTTAGGAAGCGCTCCTTTGGGGAAGAGGAGACTTGCCATTTTAGAGTTTTGTTGGCGCAAGACGCAGAGCTCTGTAACTTGACCCACTTGCTAAACTCACCCATGGTAGATGGCACCTTTGGTAAATGAAAATGCTACTGGATTTTCTTCCTGTGTTACTCTGAATTCTCAAGTACTCAGTAAATTACTCTAATTTCTCTGCCCTGGCTCCCCTCGTTTTCCATGCTAACATTCACTTGACCTTGGTCTTTTGTTTTTAATATCTCTGACCTTCCTGGAATAAATATTTGATCTCATTTATCAGTTCAAATGTATCAGAGTCGAGAAGTTACATCTGGGATCAAATTATAGCGCACGTCTGATCAGGGATGCCCTCAGCAAGAATTCCGCTCTGTGCCCTGCTGGTTCTTGCTACACTATGCGGTTGATCCACACATCCCAGTTCCCCAGAACTGCCCTGTCCAGTTCCGTGGGCACTTGACCGCATGTGGCCACGGCACCTGTGAACTGTGGCCAGCTTGTCCTGGGATGCACTGCCAGTGTGAAGTGCACCCAGGATTTCCCAGACTGACTGACCACAATGAGTGCAAAATGCCTCATTATTTTTGCGGATTCTGCTTTGGATAGACGGAGCTTCCGGATCTATTCTTAAAGTTCATTTCATGTTTCTTTTTACTTTTGTTTAGTATGCTGCTACTTAATTAACAGTGAGTGCCTGTGAGGTAGATGCTGTTTATACTGGACAATGTTACTTTAGAGAAACACACCGTCTTTGTGGTTCCCCAGGCCACTCCCCTGCATTTTACTTGGGCTGGTTGTTTCCATGTTTTAAAATTTGTTTCAAGTTCAACATTTGGGGTCTCACAGTCCGTAGCAGTTTCTGACATTATTCTCATTTTAGTAAGCAGCAAAGTGAAAAATTCCCACCAGAGGGCTCTAGAGCTATGCTAACCTCTTTACTTGTGTAAGCATTCGGTAGGTGTAGAATCTAAATTGAATTCTGGGAAGAGAGTTAAAAAAAAAAATATATATATATATACATATATATGTATGTATATATATATATATATATATTCCCTATTACATTAAACCGGTGTTTGGTCATTATGACTATTTGCTATTGAAGTAACTCTCGCGCACCACATCTGGGACTTAGGGGAGCCCTGCCTTAAAGAAAGATGGGACTACAGCATTTTCAAAAATGAAAACACAGTGTTAGCATCTATTGGGCCGATCCAGGGACACGGCTCATGCTGCGCTGCTGGCAAAGGGCCCTTGGTGACTCCTGCCCCACTCCAGGCCCTGCCCCACCACTGCTCTTCATCACGATTGCCTTCGCAGTAGTGCCTCTGCTCTGGAGAATGGCTCTCTGATGTCCACAGAAGAGAGGACATCGACATCTTTGAGGTCATGCATTATGTTAGAACTTTGCCCTTCCACCATTTGGACACCATAAAAACCCAAAAAACCCTTGTGTGCAATGGTTAAATGCTCAAGGAGAAAGACTTGGGGATCTCTTAGAAAACTGACAGCCTGGACCTCCATGGGCACAGCTCTACCCTTGTCAAGTGGTGTTCACAGGAGTAGACATAGACTCAACACGCCGAATAAAAACAACCACTACAGGCTTGATGATGGCAGACTGCAGCTAAAATCACTCCAGTGTAGCTTAGCACGCCCTTATTCTAAGGACAATGAAAAAGAGAGACATTTCCCATTGCACTTTATGAGAAAGTAGAATCGAGGGTTCATTTACTTTGTAGTCTAAAAGCAAACAAAATAGGAGCGATAAGTTCAGTCTGTCATTTTGTGAATATACAGGTCAAAACATGAAAATGAACCCCAGCCTTTAATTACCTGTATCTGCAAACGATTCCACCTATGGAATGATCGGCAATATCGTTTTAGGTTCTTTTTGAAGTCTTCTGGGTTAAATGTCTTCCATTCATTTTTTTTAGAAAGCGACGTGCCCACTAGCTGTCCCAGTCAGTGGTGGCCGTACGCAGGCTACTGTTACAAGATTCACAGAGGGGCAAAGAAGATCCAGAGAGATGCTTTGACTGCGTGTCGGAAGGAAGGTGGTGATCTGGCCAGTATCCACAGCATCGAGGAGTTTGACTTCATTTTCTCTCAGCTGGGATATGGTGAGAAAGCCCGCAGCAGTGATCTGCGTCATCCCCACCCTCCCCAGGCCTGGAAATCATAGCCATCCACGTGAAATCGAATGCTTTGAGAACCTGAGTAATAATAACTGCTACCGATGCCTCACCTTCCAAAATAACATCATAACCTTCAAGATCCTTATCATGAAAAAGAGATGAAATTTATTTTAAAGCATTCGATTTATAAATAGTGTTTCATATTGTTTATTTTCCTGGATATAACCTGGATTTACTTTAAAGATGTCAACCATGTTTGATTTTCTGTGTGTGTGTGTGTGTGTGTGTGTGTGTGTGTGTGTGTGTGTGTGTGTATTTTCAGGGCCTATATTTTACTCCACAAGAACTTAGTGAAAGAAATTGAGTGTCTTACCACAGTGGTTAGCTGTTGACCTAAATCTTTAAACAACATGTCTGTGTCCATTGTAGCGATATAATTTAAGAAATTCATAGAAAATGTGCTGACTAAATCACTATAAGGTTTTCAAAAATTGGCCCTCTTAAAAATAAAGGGAGGGATCACTAGTCATACTCCTTTGCTTCTCAGCTTTCGTCTTGAGCTCAGTAGGCTATGAGAGCAGCCCGTGTTGCCGCCTGTAAACAACTTCTTCATGACTACGTTGACCTGCCCTGGAGCATTCATACTAAAGGCAATAATAAAAATGGACATATCTTAATAATAGCGGCTTTTGCCCTGGTGGTGGACTGGTTATGCGTTGGTCTACTAACCGCAAGGTCAGCAGTTCGAAATCACCAGCAGCCCCGTGGGAGGAAATTAAGCGTGTCGAGTCCCAGTCTCAGCAGCCCACTGGTTCAGTTATGTTCTCTAGACTTGCTATGAGGCGTAATCCACTCGATAGCAGTGGGTGAAGATTATCCTGAGCAGCATGGTGGCACAGGGGGCTACACATTGGGTTGGTAACCAGAAGCTCAGCAGTTTGAAACCACCAGCTGCTCTGTGGCCGAGACCTGAGGCTGTCTACTCCTGTAAAGAGTTAGGGGTCTCAGAAACGGACAGGGGCAGTTCTACCCTGCCCTCTAGGCTTGCTCTGAGTTGGTTTGGCTTCCATGGCAGTGAGTTAGGGGCTTTTTGAAAAGCTTATCCTGACACTTCCAGAGAGCTAATGGAATTTGCTGTAGAAGCTGAAGCGCACATTTTGCTCTGCTTTGTGTGACGGGAC